TAGAGGCAGCAGCAGGGAGGGGCTGGTCACACCACGGAGACGGTGCTGGGGGGAACTGGCTTTTAAACCTCCCTTTACTATTGACAGAGAGCCATTGTGGACTCTGTTTTGTTTTGGCAACAGAACTGGGTTCTGCCAGTATCCTCCAACGCCTGCCCTGATGGCTGTGCTCAGTGTTTTGATCTCTGCTGCCCTGCAGGCATGTACCCCTCCCCTTTCAAAGTGCTGGGGAAGCATCTGACAGCTGAGTGAGCTGCTCTGTTTGGGGACAAAGAACAAATAATTGAAATGCTCCTGTTCTGCCCTGCACTAGGAACACAGCAGCAGGCAAACTGCTGCTGCAGAGGGAGGGCTGAACTGTGCTGCTTTCATATTCCTTAGCATGGAGAGCTCACAGAGTTACTCATAATACTGCTCCCAGCAGCTGAAGATGCTGAGAGAATTCTGAGGGAACCCCAGGAAACACAGGGATGAGCTGTGCCTTCCCACACCACCACACTGTGGGACGCCTACCCGCATTGTTTTGCTGTATCGGTCAGTAGGGTACTAACAGTGTGGCCTTGAAATGCTGACAATAGGAGGCAGAAAAAAAGAGTTTGACTGGTTTTCACTTTCGGCAAATTTGCACGTCAACCTCTTTCGCCATCAAATCTCCCCACAGTGTAGACACAGCCTGAGACTCCTAGGCTACGTCTAGACTACATCCCTTTTTCGGGAAAGGGATGTAAATTAGACGTATCGCAAGTGCTAATGAAGCAGGGATTTAAATCTCCCCTGCTTCATTAGCATAAAAATGGCTGCCGCTTTTTTTCCCCTGCACAAAGCTTTGCCGGAAAAAAGCGCCAGTCTAGATGCTGATCTTGCGGAAAATAAAGCCTTTTCCAAAAGATCCCTTATTTCATAGACCATTCTTTCTTATCATGTAATCTTCTCCTTTCTCATTCCCGGCATACCTTCTGACTTATGTCACAAAAGAATCAGAAGTCTTACAGTCTTACTACTCCACCCCTAAATTCAACCCCATCAGATACATACTGGGTACTCAAGGAAGTAGGAGTTCTTTGGAAAAATAATGGTATGTGATCAAGTATTTAAGGACTATCAGAATTAGATGTAAAAAGTTTTAAAAGGTAACCACGTAACTGCTAAAAACTTAGCAGTTACACACACTTTGGACTCTGCAGCAGGGGGTTCTAAAGTTTTTGACACTGGGCCGGTAAATCCATTCACAAACTTTTGTAGGACCAGTAACATTCATTTGCATATTTGCGTATTCATTAAGCAAATGATGAATATGAAAATAAGCTGCTTCTGGTCCTCCCAAAGCCCCCAGTGCTAGCTTTAGCAAAGCTTTTGATGCAGTCACCCACAATATTCTTGCCAGCAAGATAAGGGAATATGGATTGGATAAATGGACTGTAAGATGGATAGAAAGCTGGCTAGATCAGGGTGTCCCAAACTTTTTACTTTAGTCGGAACAAGTGTTTTTTCAGTACTGTTTTTTGCAGCCCAAACATATAAACACATTAAAAAAAATGAAAAATGAATAATTTTTCACTGTTTCACCCGGCTGTATCCTCCGCCCAGCCTGGGCCAGGGCTTAGGGGACCCGGCGTAGCACAGGCACTCCGGGAGCCCGGAACATCTGGCTACATCCTCTGCCCAGCCTGGGCCACGGCTTGGGGGAACCTGGCGTTGCACGGGCACTCCGGGAGCCCGGAACATCTGGCTGCATCCTCTGCCCAGCCTGGGCCATGGCTTGGAGGAACCTGGCGTTGTACGGGCACTCCGGGAGGCGGGAGCAGGAGCAGATTGGTGGTAGGGTATCTGGCTAGGAGGGAGGGTGCAAGGAGGGGATTTGGATAGGAGTTGGACCTCCCTGGTCTGGCACCCTCTGGACCTGACCGGTTGCAGATGAGGGAATTTTTTGGACCAGGGGAGGTCATTTCAGGGCTCCTGGTCTCCCCCCCCCCCCCAAGGGAGTACAGCACCAGTTCCCTAGAGCCCCTCACAGCCCAGCTGAGCTGCTGCCCTTCTGTTCTCTATGCCTCCTTGCATCCACCTCAGCCTTGTTGAGCCCCGCACTGGTTCCCTGCATGCCTCCCCCACAGCACAGCTGAGCCCCCTTTCCCTGCACCTCTCCCCTACTGCAGCCAAACTGAGCTCTGAGCTCTGCACTCCCCCCCCCCCCACCAAGCACGCCG